TTATTCTACTTCTCCATCGGAAATCTGCTTCGACTTTGCTGACTGTCAGTAACTGTGGCAGCGTCTGACAAAGAAAGGTGCCCCCTCTAAGATCCTACCCACTTATGGAGGCTGTATGTGCCTAATTCCATCGGAGTGCCGGTGTCTACGGTGAATTCTCCCCGCAGTTCACCAGTCGTGTCAGTTAGGAGTGTTCTATGTCAAATGCCTCCAACACATTGGTGATTTCACTCATGAATATCAATGATTTTGCTCAGACCATTTACAAAAGGAGACTACTCTGAACAACCTGAATAGTAGTGCCGCACCGTTGCGTACACCGTAGGGTGTCAATGTGAGACCGAGTAGGATGAAACACAAGTCCCGTGTTTGCAAATGAACCGATTGTGTCGTACATAAATTTGTTTCCTTGGGCATGAGTCCCATAGGACTAATGACAGATAAAATCACTTGCCAAAATTAGAGGTCTAGTTCAGCAGTTTCCAAAACACGATATTTGTGGTGCAGAAGTGACGTTTAGTTTGATTGTCCTGCTCAAAATGTACGAATTCTGAGTTCAATCTCTCACTCATTGTGGAGTTGTGACGTGGCCTCAGGATGTAGAAAACCACCGTGGAACCCTGGTGTTTGACCTCTGAAGCATTGCAAGAGTCTGGCGGTAACATAGTAGTGAGGTATTCTCACGATTTTCCGGAAAAGTCACTCCCCGTCAGTAGATTAGCTTGTTATTGTTCACAGGCTACGCTGGTTAGCCCATATTCATTGTATGCCAGTCTTTTGTGGAATGGAAAGACCAATGTGGAGCGAGTCCATGACTCGTCAGAAGAACGAGAATGACCTACCAGAATTAGCGATCTCGACTGTTTAGTTGCATTAGTGATTAAATGGTCAGGGCATTTCCACTGAATGACCACAGTTTGCGTTGGCCCACGGCTGCAAACTGCGAATTACTATGATGACATATCTGGACGAGATTAGAACAGTTATTCTTGTAACTGGCTGTAGCCCATGCATCGCCTTCTACCTCTGCAGGTTTTCCAACTACTTCCAAGCAGAGCAGTGTGAGTCCCGTCTGAAAGCGCGCGTGGACCTTAAATGATTGAGCATGGATATGGAGGCATTCATTTCGAGTTATCATGTCTCAGCATACTTCTAGCGAATCTGTTGCCCAAAGTCACCTGGAAAATTAAACGACGCTTACTTGACTAGAAAGGATACATGTCCCAACCAACCCCAACGG